GATGGATGGATGGATGGATGGATGGATGGGAGGTAACGCAAAAGTATAGTGAGGTAACGCAAAGGTATTGCGAGGTAATACAAAGGTATTGCGAGATAATACAAAGGTATTGCGAGGTAATACAAAGGTATTGCGAGGTAATACAAAGGTATTGCGAGGTAATACAAAGGTATTGCGAGATAACGCAAAAGTATAGTGAGGTAACACAAAGGTATTGCGAGGTAATACAAAGGTATTGCGAGGTAATACAAAGGTATTGCGAGGTAATACAAAGGTATTGCGAGGTAATACAAAGGTATTGCGAGGTAATACAAAGGTATTGCGAGGTAATACAAAGGTATTGCGAGGTAATACAAAGGTATTGCGAGAACGCGAAAGTATTGCAAGGTAACGCGAAAGTATTGTAAGGTAACGCGAAAGTATTGCAAGGTAACGCAAAGGTATTGCGAGGTAACGCAAAAGTATTGCGAGGTAACTATTGCGTGGGAACGTAAAAGAAAAAAAATCACCCCATGTCTCCTCGTGGACTCCATAAAGACACAACAAATCTTAATGTGTCAGTTGTTCTCAGTAAACCTCTGAGACCCGCCGTTATTGGTCCACAGATGTGTTTGGGTCAAAGCGACGTCTCTTTTACCACCAATCATGAGTTTTTGTTCATTTGACCAGCTTTATAAACGATGTATTGTTGAAGCAAAATGCAGTGCTATCACCATAAACCAATCAGTCATTTCTCATGAGGTGGGTTGTGATGGGAAGGGGCGGGAGGCTCGAAGCTGCGAACAAAAAGGCAGAATTTGATGGGCGATGAGAGTCGATTTCTGCAGCTCGAATTCAATATGTGGAGGCCCTTTAGTCCGAGGTGTTTGCATTGATGGAGCTGAGAATTATGGGTAAGCRTGTTTTACTTTGGTCTCATCTGGTCGATTCAGTTCAGTTTATTTATTTAGCACAACAAACCTCGTCTCAATACAAGAAACAATCAGTCTGAGGTAGGGCTGCCACGATTAGTCAACTAGTCACGATTATTGTCGACTAATTTAATAGTTGATGCGTTGTTTTTTTTTCTAACTTTGTTTTTCTCTCCAAACTGCTGCGACACCTTCCACTGCCACGTCTGCCTTTCTGTCCTTGACACACATGCGCAGTGGTGGTAATTAGGGCTGCCACAAAYGGTTATTTTTATAAAATCGGTGATTAGTCGACTATAAAAAAAACAAAGTTAGAGAAAAAAAAACRACACATCGACTATTAAATTAGTCGTTGATGATTTTAATACTTGACATAATCGTGACTAGTCGACTAATCATGGCAGCCCTAGTCTAAAGAAGGCAGCAGATTGTGCTGAATCATCACTTCCTGAGCAGTACATTGGCGACAGCGGAAAGGAAAGACTCCCCTTTAACAGGAAGTAACCTCCAGCCAAACCAGGCTCAGGACAGGCTGGGTTTGGTCAGAGGTCGTTGTCGTCGTGTGATTCGTCTAAAATTTACAAACCTGAGCCGCGCTGCCAGAAGAAACAACCTTTTCAAACAAGCCATACAAGAGTCAGCCTAAGGAAATGCTCCTCAGGTATCCGGTGGTCAACCTCTTGACAGAAGTTGATCAACTGATCCTGTTTGGATCAGTTTAAAACTGAACCCTTCCTGAGGACTTGATCCAACATGTTTCCAGTCTCACGATGATGATTTTAGACTTTTTATATTCCTCCTAAAACTTTCACCCAACTATCTTGGTAGTGTTTTGATCGTCATACATGTGGTTTTTAAAACGGTGACTCAGTGAGCCCTCTCTGCAGTGATGGGCTGGGCAGCCCAAACTTAAATTGTATTTACACAATTTCCAAAGCGCTAATCAATTTATTTAGGTCCACAAGTACAAAAGCACATATGCTCAGTGAATCTTAGCAGAGCTAATAATGAAGCACAACTTTATYTCTGTTTACCTGAAAACATCCAGGTAAGAGAATAGGCAGTACTTTACTACCATCTAGTGGTAAGATTATTTCTTTAACAGATTGGCAAATATCGGCACAAAATGGGGAGGTGATTCGTAGAAACAGACTTTTAAATCATGGTTGTAAAACAAAAAATAGTTGTTGATTACTAGTTCTGCTGCTTCTTGGTCGTTTTCTTATGTTTTCTTATGTTTATGGCAGGGCTTCAGTAAGAAAACATGCAGGTATATTACTAATTTTAAACTGCTTGTTGTAAAACTGAAACAATGCATTCTGTGTAGGATACAGGACACAGAACAGGAACTTCGTTCTTTTCAAAATAAGAGCGTGAATTTAAACTGTTCCATGTTTCTTTCTTTACTATTTTTTTTTAAAGGCAGCACAACTGTCTCTGTCTCTGTTGCGGCATGACCTGTACACCTGTTCCCCCATGTTTGTCATGTGTGTCTTCTTGAATGGGTGTTCTTAACGGTTTGTATAGCACCTTGTGAATTTATTTCTGTGAAAGGCGATATATAAATAAAATTTTACTTACTTACTTATTTATTTAATATTTAATTGCCGTGGTGTTCCTCAGAGAGGAGGTAAATGCACAGCTGAGTGTGCTTCTGCAAATCAGAACTGCAGGAGGATTGTCACCAAGTGAAGAAGTTCTAAGTGCTTCCTACTGCCACGCAAAGAATTGTGGGAACACTACTGTCTGTACTAAGTGAAAACCGTCACAGAGAAGAGTCCAGAGTCAGAGTATAAAGCTCTGTGTCGCTATTTCCTCACAGCGGAGATCCATTGTGTTAAGTAGAGACAGCTTTCCCCTTCATTGTTCAAGAAAAACATGACGAATGAATTAGGTGGCTATAAAACGTAGTGAGAGTAGACAACTCTTTCTGCTTACTTTAGACAAAATAGATGTTTGAATGTGAAACATTATTTGCGATTAGCGCCACTCAATTCTAAATTTAGAAATCGCAAATCTGGACATTATTTTATGAAATAAGTAAAACCCCTAAAGCGCAAAGGAGAAATTTAGGTCTGCAATTAACACATTTGCTCTTTAGGGGACTAGTGCCCACCACTGCCTCTCTGYTAGCAGAGCATTAAATTAAATTAAAGCATTAGTCGTCCGCTAACAATGAAGCTCTGATCGTTTTATACAAACTCAAATTTTAGGGTCCGTTCACGCGGAGCATTTTTTTTTTGTAAAGTCTCTGAGACCTCAGGGAGCAATGCTCACTTATCTGATGTCATTTTTCTTCGTGTTTCCTCCCTCCTGCAGAATTTCCAGCTGTGGTGCGACCTCAGGGAGTTTGAGATGAGGTTGGGCCGCAGGTATCTGACCCATCGAGGAGAAGAGGATCACTGGATGCGTTACGCTCAGGAAAAGGGGCTCTGCTTCCCCCCTCACCTCTACTGGGACCCCAACGACGCTCTGGACCTATGAGAAGTTCACTTGTTGCGACTCGGCTGGAGAAGTTACTGAACTTTTATATTTATAGTAAAAATTAAGAAGAAAAAAAACAACACAAACTGCTGTTTAATAATATAACGTTCCTTTTTATTCCAACTTTTTGTTCGGAAGTGTTTGAATGTGGGTTTTTGTAGCATCAGTGATGAGTGACAGAACTGATTGTGAGGGGAGGAGGAGGAGGAGGAGAATGGAGCACAGATGAAGCATGAACAAAAGGAGTCAACTCGCACCGATCATCATGGCCGACTTTGTTTAAAAAAAAAAAACACGGGACCAGAACCCTTTTAGTGTTTCCTGCTGTGATCCCATGTCCAGCTTCGATTTTAGATTTTTCACAACTTTCCTTTCGCCCTGTTTGTCCCGTCTCACCTCCCTCTGCCTGTCTAACTCTCTGAAAYCACAGAGGATCTTTCTGTTTGCAGTCACCTTTAAGCCATCCTTTTATTTATTAATTTTTTACCCACAGTGCTTTGCTCTGAGTTGCTCTCTCTGTTTTCATCTTCACATTAAATGCTCTCATTCATCCTTTTAATAGAGGGTCTTAAGACCTCCAGGTTAAAGTTTCTCTAAACTTTCAGGTTTCACAGTGGTCTTCACGTCGAGACGCTCGCCTCAGTGAGGTAAAAGCACCTGACTGGCTTTACTCCTCTGATTCCTACAGATGCTGTTTTCCATTTCGGCGTGGTTAACCAAAGACATCGTTACTAAACTTCAACATAGCATGCATCTGCACAAATACACAAACAAGCCAACCGTCACATTTTTCTTCTTTAATTACCCTTCTACAAAAATAAGATTTAGACGGGGAGAGGAGGAGCAGGAGGCTTTTCTCAAACGACTCTTCTTCCTGATCAGCTTCTGGTGTTTTGAAGATCTGAGCCAAGTCTTCTGCTCGCCTCCTCCCAGAGTGTCCCTGGGTTTGATGGGAGGGAAGGGGAGCAGCTGGGGAGAAACTTCTGATTTGTGAGAGGAATAAAATGATGAGAACAAACATTTATTTTTAGAAGGGCAGTGTGGAAGGGTTTCACATCACTCTCTCCAAACAGGAGGGATAGAAGCTGGGGAGGAGGAGGAGGTGTGGCGAGGCGGCTCGCTTTATAAGTCGCTCTCTCCGTAGAGGGCGCTGGAGAAGGAGATGTAGTCCAGGGCGCCGGGGGGAGCRTCACCGCCCACGTACCGGGTCATGCGGCTGATGCAGTACTCTGCCTGCTCGGGCGGTAGCTCCCTGCGCAGCTCGTCCACTGTGATGTAGCTCTGCAGGACAGACGGGCGGGTCAGGAAGACTCTTACCTCATTAGCTGAAAGAGAGAGAGAGAGTGTGTGTGTGTACCTTGTCTGAGGCCAGAATCTTGAAAGAAGCCATGACTTGCTCGGCAGTGTCGGTCTCGGCAGTCTCGCGGGTCATGAAGTCGATGAAGGCCTGGAAGGTCACCACGCCGGTGTTGTTGGCGTCCACCAGGGTCATGATGCGGGCGAACTCAACCTCACCCTGTTTGTAAAAACAAGGAGCACCAAATCATGGCTGAGGAAAATAAACCAGTCCTTCAGACCTAGACTGTGTCCAAATTCAGGGGCTGCGTCCTTCAATAGACCCGGTCTACGTGGGCTGGGGTCGACCGCAAAGACCAGAAGGAAGTGGCTGTGAATTTGGACCATCAGCCTTTAGCTTTATCCCCGCATTATTGTGACAGGCCTAACATTTCTTACAGTTGTGTTGAAAACACTTGGATCACTCGAGCTTAGGAATTTCTTTATGCCTGATGGATTTTAAATTAATTAAAAATTTATATTTATCAAAAAAATGTTTAACGTGGTCAGCATTGAAAAAAAAAACAGCCAAAGAAAATTTTTCAAAGACCGTTTGAAAGTCTGTAGAACGATAAAAATTATAAAAAGTGACTGGAAGCAAAATTTAAAGAAATGAGGGCCGACTCAAGACTTTTGCACAGGATTATTAACTTCAACCCCATCCATCCATTATCTTCCGCTTTATACAAAGTCAGGTCATGGGGGCAGCAGCGTGAGCAGGGAAGCCCAGACCTCTTTCCCCAGCCAGCTCTTCTGTGAGGACTCCCAAGATGTTCCCAGGCCAGCCGAGAGTCTCTCCAGCGTGTCCTGGGTCTTCCTCTGGTCTCCTCCCAGTTGGACATGTTTGAAGTACCTCCTTAGGGAGGCGTCCAGGAGGCATCCTTATTAGATGCCCGAACCACCTCAACTGGCTCCTCTCGATGTGGAGGAGCAGCAGCTCTACTCTGAGTCTCTCATGGATAACTGAACTTCTCACCCTATCTCTAAGGGAGAGCCCAGACACCCTGCGGAGTAAATTAATTTTGACTGCTTGTATCAGCGATCTTGATCTTTTAGTCACTACCCAAAGTTTGTGACCATAGATGAGGGGTAGGAACGTAGACCGACCTGTGACTGAGAGCTTTGCCTTACAGCTCAGCTGCCTCTTCACCACAACAGACAGGTACAGAGTCYGCAAAACTGCAGAAGCTGCACTGATCTATCAGTCTCACGCTCCAATCTTCCCTCAGTCGTGAACAAGACCCTAAGATACTTGAACTCCTCCACTTGAGGCAGAACTTCACCCCCAACCAGAGGGAGCAGTCCACCCTTTTCTGACTGAGGACCATGGACTCAGATTTGGAGGTGCTGATCCTCATCCTAGCTTCTTCACACTCAGCTGCAAACCACTCCAGTGAGAGCTGAAGATCCTGTCGCAATGACGTCAACAGAACCACATCATCTGCAAACAACAGAGTTGGAATCCTGAGGCCACAGAACCGGACTCCCTCCACCCCCTGGCTGCACTGAGAAATTCTGTCCATGTAAGTTAGGAACAGAATCGGTGACAACGGGCAGCCCTGGCAGAGTCCAACTCTCACTCTGAAGGGGTCTGACTTACTACTGGCAATGCGAACCAAACTCTCGCACCACACAGTATCCTCGTGAAACACTGTTAAATGCCCTCTCCAAGTCCACAAAACATATGTAGACTGGATTAGCAAACTCCCATGACCCCTGGAGGACCCTAAGTGAGGGTAAAGAGTTGGTCCAATGTTCCACGGCCAGGACCGACTCCTCCTTCAACGGAGGAACTTTAACACAAACAGTTCAWATCTACTTCTGATCTACTGGAACTGTAAACGTGTCCATGTGGGTGTGTTTCACTGACCAGATCATAACCCATGGAGATGAGGCAGGCTCTGAAGTCGTCTGGGTCCATCATGCCGTTTCTCTTCTGCAAAACAAAACCAAAGTCAAATAAAAATCCAGTCACTTTGTATTTATAGTTGAGTCAATGGTTTAAAGCCAGTGTGCGGTCGGCCTCACCCTGTCGAAGTGATTAAAGGAGGCCCTGAACTCGTTGAGCTGCTCCTGGCTGATGCCCTTGGCGTCGCGGGTCAGGATCTGGTTCTCCACCTCGTTGATGGTTCTGGCGATGGTGGTGAGCAGCTGCTCCCAGCCCACACGCACGTGCTGCAGGAGGGAAGGACACAGAGGCGGTCAGACTGAGGCGGGGCGATTGTGGAGCTCAGACACACGGGATGAGCCGGCCGCACCTCCATGGTGTAGTTGGTGTGTTTGTTGTCGAAGATCAGGGACTCCTGGCTGAGCTGGTGGTCTCCCTCCAGCTTGTCGATGTTGGACTTGTAGTTGATGATGTTCTGTTCGTACTGCTTCAGGCTGTTCATCTGTTCCTCCAGGGAGCCCGCGATATCCACCGACACGTGGCTGATCTCCTGCTCACACAGGAAGGGAAGGGTTTTCCAATGCACCTTTGTTTACTAAACTACAAGCATTAAAGGGATCCCTGATTAGTTGTAACATTAGACTTTATTTGATAAACATTTATTTTAACTGTAAAATAAAGACTGTAAAAATACTGTAGCTGTTTAGTTTAGTAAATTTTTAACAATATATTTTAACATAGACAGAGCCATTTTATTTACACACAAAGCATTCTGGGTAAATGATGATGTGGATAGATCCTCAGGGTGAGCGAGCTATATCCACCCTGAAGGTTAATCTTGGACAATATCTGATGATCGACTCTTTTAAATGAAACCAGAGAGCGTTGACAGAGAGGAGAAGGTAGAAATGACTCAGCCTGGAACTGAAAATATGGATGGAGGACAACAGAGCTGCTTCATGGAAGAAGAACATCAGCTTAGCCTGTTGGCCTTTGCGCTAGCGCCGAGGTTATATTGCCTTATATATATATATTAGCTCATTGCTAGCGCGACAAACAAGCTAATCTGTTGTCCTCCATCCATATTTTCAGTTACAGGCTGAGTCATTTCTACCTTCTCCTCTCTGTCAACGCTCTCTGGTTTCATTTAAAAGAGTCGATCATCAGATATTGTCCAAGATTAACCTTCAGGGTGGATATAGCTCGCTAGCAGCCTCGCACAGAGGACATCATCACCGACCACGTCATCATTTACCCAGAATGCATGTAAATAAAATGGCCCCGTCCGTGTAACATTTTTTAAACTTTTAGTTTAAAAATGGTAAAACTGAACATCCTACAGTATTTTTAGTCTTTATTTTACAGTTAAAATATATGTTTATTAAATAAAGTCTAACTAATCATGGATCCCTTTAACATTAATCGCCGATGTAAAAGCTGAAGCTGCTCTCCCTCTCAGGGGTCAGGGTGTACCTCCATCTTGGTTTGAATCCAGGGTCCGATGATGTTGGCCTGAGCAGCAAACTGGCGCCTCAGCCTCTCGTTGGCCTGCTGTCGGGCCACTTCCTCCTGAAGCATTTGGTCTCTGAGGGGCACGAGGTGCTTCACCTGCAGACGGAAGACAGACATTTTATTATACAAAACAACATTATTTAAAGTAATTATCAAGCATTTTTTAGTCCTAATTGCATTCAGAAGCAGTTCTGAGACGAGTGAGTGAAAAGTTGTTTTTATTTTCCTCACAGATGGTTGGATATATTGAGCCTGCACTGACAGATTGTCCTTGGCAGTTATTCTTATCTCTGAGAATTTACAGGCTGCACTTTTCTGTATGGCTCTAATCTAAATGCGTGGCACTATTTCTGACCCTTTGCGAGGCATGTACTGTGTTTATTTTTAACCAGATGACCAAATGCAGAGCAGTGTTGGTTCACATTTCCTGTTTTTATAACTCAGACAAAACCAGAGGTCCTTTAAAGCCAACCATACTGTTTACTGACAATGATGGTGGGTTCAATGGGGCTTTGACTCACAGTGTCCCATTTAGTGCTGATGTCCTGCTGAGTCAGGTTGGTGTACGGGTTGATTCCGGACAGCTTGATGCCGTAGGTCTGGGCGATCTTCAGGATCTCGTTGTGGATGCCCATGGTGGCCATGCGCTCCTTGTCGGCCTCGGGCAGAGTGGCCTTGAACTGGTCGTGAGCTGTGATCAGACTCTGGCTCACAGGGAGAGGAAGTGATGAGGGTCAGCCAGCATTTTGTCATTTTTTACAATTTCTAACCATGGACTAAATCTTAGTTTTTCTTTACAGTTTCATTCTTTAAAATGCTCTTACACTTGTGTATCTCATCAAAACTTACTAAATCAAGGGTGTAAATGTTCAGTACCTGGATCTCCTCGATGCTGTGGACAATGAACATGTCCTGCAGGTCCTCCATGGCTCCGTCCATCCAGTTATTGAAGGGCGCCGCCCTCTTCGCAAACTCCAGGTACAGCTGGTCAATGGTCTCCCACAGTTTCTCCACGCGCTACAGTCACGATGAGGACACGTGGAGCTCAGAGGATTCACTCAGTAATCAGTTTGCATGAGTTTGTGTTTGTTTACCTCCAGAGCATCCCTCCTCTTCTGGGTGAGGGTCCCCAGGTTGTCCCACTGGTCACAGATGCCCTGGCAGCGAGCGTTGACCGTAGCAGAGTCATGGTAGTCCAGCTCACTGGTGGAGAGCAAAAAAAAAAAAAAAAGATTTAAAACCACAAAAAGGAGAAATATTAAAAATATAATTAATGAGTCGACTGAACAGGATCGAACAGGTAGAGAATGTGGATGGAAGGAGTTTGTTTCATGAATTGTGTTTAGAATAATCATGTTTGTTAACTTTAAGCTATATTTTTAATATCAATGTGATTATCAGGACAGAACAAACTGGAACTGTGACCTGATAYGATCACATTTATTAGCGGTGTCCCTATACCAGTGTTTCTACAAGTACTCATACAAAATGCCCCGATACTCAGAACCAATACCAATACCTGTGTTGCAGTTTACATTTTAAGTGAAAGTTGATCAGTACCATGTTTCTGAAAAGTTGAAGAAAAAATCTTATTTTTATTTATTTTTAAAAATTACAAAAGTATATACAGTATGTAAGGACCTGATATGATCACATTTATTAGCGGTGTCCCT